CTTTTCCTCCCTTGATCTACGCTCTAGATATTGGCAGGTGCCCATGAATACAAATGATAGGCCGAAAACTGCCTTTGTTACACCAGACGATTTATACGAATTTAATGTGATGCGATTCGGCCTTTGCAATGCACCGGCAATATTTGAGCGCATGATGGACACTAATCTATGAGGCCCCAAATAGAACACGTGTTTGTGCTACTTGGATGATGTGAATGTAATTGCACCAGATTTTCCCACGCACGTTTGTCGCTTGGATCAGGTTTTACGGTGCCTCAGTTCGGCTGGCTTCCAACTTAACTTGAAGAAATGTTACTTTGGAGCACGCAAGCTGATCATTCTCGGACAGATCATGTCGAAAGATGGCGTTCTCCCTGATCCCACTAAGCTGCGAGTTGTTCCCGAGGCCCGCAGCTCTGAAGGAGTTACATAGTGTCGTTGGGCTTTGCTCATACTTCTGCCGCTTTATTCACAATTTTGCCTAGATTATGGCACCTCTGACAGACCTACTTCAGGAAGACAACAATCTATCTGCGTGATCCCCGGCTTAAAACCGTGCCTTTGCAAAACTTCGTCAACTCCTTACAACACCACCCATACTACAGTCGAAACCCACAATAACGAAATCGCCGGGGAAACCGAAAAATTTCGTTTTCGCGAGAATTTCGTTGCCGCGAGTATGAGACATAAAAACAGTGACACGGCCAGCAGAACGAAAATTTATTGCCAGAAGTCTTCTTCTTTGCCGACCCTTGCCATGCAACAACTTCAAAGCTCTCCCTTTGCACTGGAAAAAGTGGTCCATTGCTACGTCATCGTCATGTGCGCCGAAGAAGGAGCGAAGGGTGTCCAGCGCATCCAAAACAACCCGCAAGTTGTTTTGAATGCGCTAGCGCGTAGTACCTGCCCGCAGTCTCGCTGTCAGCGGTGTTGGGGCTAAAGCCAACTCCGATGACGCGCCGCGCTCGTAGACCGCGCGCTCGCTCGTGGTAATCTTATCGTCCATCCGGTGCGGCCACTCGTAGTAATTTGATTGTGCCGCCGCTTACAGCTTCGTTGCTTGCAACGAAGCGCGTCTTGCCACAGGTGCGCTAGCGCGTCGTTCCTGCCCCCAGTCTCACTGTCGATGGAGTGAGGGCTAAAGACGACTCCGATGACGCGCCGCGCTCGTAGTAACCTGATCGCACATCCGCCTACTGCTCCTAACTAAAGCGTAATTATATCTTAAGTGATTATGGAGCCGTAAACACGTCACGAAGTAGCAATTTTCGAGAGCCATGTCCTCGCGACGCACAAGGAGCAGATGACGATCTCCCGGAGCGAGCATCGGGCCAATGGGGAGGCGAGCTGAGGCAACATGGCGGCCACAGCCAATCAAAGGCCTCGAAACGACCTTCAAACATTTGCTTTTTGTGCACTTATTAAGGGACGAGCCAGATGAGGCGAGAAAGTTAAACACGGAGAAATGCTCTTTCTGATGAGCCCAAGAAGCCGGCTCCCGGCCCCGCCATCGCGAAGCCACAATTTTTTTGAAAATAGCTGTTTTCTCACGATTTCCAGAAAATGTTCCGCTACTTAGGTGGGTGAAATGAATTTTCCGAAGCACTTCTGCGCGGTTTTCAGTGTAGATAATTTGGAATCAGATAGAAAAAGGGTTCCAGAAACTGAAAACTTCATGAAAAAAAAAATCTTTTTTTGCCATTTTTCGCGATCCCAAAGCCACGTCCCCCCTGAAGTAAACAAAAATGGCGGTACCCACGCTAGTGCGGCAAAAGCAGACGTTTATAAATTTTGAGTGCGCATAACACGCATACGAGCATATTTTTCGACAGTTAACCTTTGGCGGGAGGGTAAAATAAGGCCCGCACCGTGATATAAAATTCGTTAATGCGGGATCGCTGTCCAAAAACACTTCGTTGCAGAGAGATACGCAGTACATAGGCTTCTATGAACGTTCGCCAGGGATCCGGAAATATTTTGTTGCCGCGGGGATTTCGTACTTGCGGGGTTTCGTTATTGCAGGTTTCGACTGTACGTCATTTTCATTCAAGCGCTCCAACAGAAATTCTCACGGATGCTAGCGGTGTCAGTCTTGGCGCTGTGCTCATCCAACGAAAGCCTGCCTACCAGGAATATATTGTTCCGTATGCGAGTAACACTTTTACAAGAACAGAGGCATATTATTTGGTAACTGAAAAAGAATGCCTAGCCATCATCTGGGCCATTACAAAATTTCGGCCTTACCTGTACGACCGCCCTTTCGTAGTTAATATCGAGCACCACGCTCTCTGCTGGTTATCCTCCCTCAAGGATCTATCCGGACGTTTGGCACAATGGGCTCGAAGCATGCCAATGCTGATGCTCTTTCGCGTTCACCTGTCTGCAATGATATTGCGAATGTCTCCATCCAAGACAACTTATTTCCAGCATCAAGATTCATCCACATGGCTTTGAAGCAGCGCGAAAATTCCTGGATTGCGTATTTAGCAGATAACCTTTCTGAAAAATTCACCCACCCGCCATCTCGAGCGCTGTGCCGACAAGCCTCTCACTTTGCCATCCATGATGTAATCTTTTATCGGCGCAACTACCAACCTGACATTCGTAAATGGCTACTCGTCATACCCTGGCAAATCCACACTAGCATATGTGCTGCTTTCCATGTCGATCCGCAGTCCGTACACTTCAGTTTGTTTAAAACCTATGCCAGACTACGTCTTCGGTTTCATTGTTGCAACATGTACACATTCGTGCAAAAGTACATTCATTTCTTGCACAGAGTGCCAGCGCCGCAAGCCTGATCCTTGCCATCCTACTACACCAATGCAGTCGTCACCTAACCAATGTGACCATTCAAGAGGGTTGGAATGGACCGTTACGGTCCTCTGCCATACACATCAGCTGGAAATCGCTGGGTTATTGTGGCAATAGAACATCTCACGAGATATGCAGAAACGGCCGCTCTGCCATGCAAGACGGCACGTGACGTTGCGTCTTTCCTGCTTCAACGCTTTGTTCCGAGTTACGGCGCCCCTCGTAAACTCCTGAGCGACCAAAAGCCGCATCTTTCTCGCAGATGATATTCAAAAACTCGCTGAATGCCACGTTATTCACCACTATACTACTGCATATCACCCTTTAACAAACAGCTTGACCAAGTGCTTCAACCGCACTCTTGGCGGCATGCTTTCTAGGTATGTCGCCTCCAACCACACCAAGTGGGACCTTATTCTTGCCTACATAATGTACGCTTATAACACGGCACCCCAGGCGACGACAGACTTTTCTTCTTTTTACTCCATGGTCAAGAGCCATCATCTCCGATCGACACCATTCTTCCTTACTGACCCTACTCATCAGATGGCACGCAAGTTTCCGAAGCTGCCCGATATGCGGAAGAATGCCGGCAATTAGCTCGCACATTTACAACTGTAAAACAAGGGCTACAGAAACTTCGCCACGACGCCAGACAGCCCATCACAAGTTTTCACCCAACTCTCTTGTTTGGCTGTGGGTGCCTCCCACTTCTGCGCCAGCTGCCTCTTCAAAGTTCGCCAGCAGGTACTATGGACCCTACCACATCCTTGAGCAAATTTCTGTCGTCAACTACCAATTGAACCCCCCACGCCTGCTGTGGACCTCCATATTCGAGGTCGAAAACCTGTTCACATGGATTGTCTCAAACCGTTTCGCGAACCACTAGTCCTCACGACACCTTAGAACACCCAGCTAGCTCCATCATCAGCGAGAGGAAATATGTAATGTAGAAGTAGTGGATCATGGAAAACTCGGCAGTCACATCATCAGCACTAAGCACAAGAAAGAGGCTTGTGCAGAACGTCGTTGCTGTTCTCACTGGCTAGCCCTACGTTCCTGTGCTGTCTGAATCACAGCTCTACTTGTCAGAATACTCAGTTCTTTATTATATTACCAAGGCAATGAACTGAGCTAGTTGGTTTATGTCCATAGAACTGAAGCACGACATCTCGCAGATCATCAAAAAGGCGAAAGCTTCACAAAAAGTATGTGAGGCAGCGTTTGAGGCCACGCAGAACATGGTATTCTAGTACCTCTAACAAATTCTTGGAGTCAGCTGTTGTTCAGCTCCAAGGCCGCCGTGAACTCCTTGAACCATGACTTTAGGCAAAAGGTCTAGAATGTTGGCAATGGTAGGGTTGAAGTGAGGCTGCACAGCTTGCGCTGGCTGAAACATGTCCACAAAGCTCGGTGGTAGCGGTGCACCACCGCTTGTTTGTCCGTGTGTCCACGGTCACCAAATGTTGCGACATGGCAGTATTCGACAAACACGAGCCGTCATTGTTAGCTTAATGAGAGGACGAAAGCATACAGCTGAGAAAGAAAGCGAGAGGTGGAACCAGAGCAGAGGCTGCAGCTTCCAGCCAGCCAAACCAATCTTCTAGCTGCTTCGCGCCACGAGGCACCGGCGCTTGTCGTCTTTTTCTCCTGCCGGGTGGCCGCCACTAGCACTGTGCAACAATCTTATGCAGAACAATTTTCACACCTACTCTTCTGCTTTACATGACCAGTTCATTAATCATGAGCTATAACTCGTCCCCATAGTTTCTCCATCCACATGAATACAAAAATCACTTGACACATTACTTTTTTACAATCAAAGGATTGCGCTCTTCTTTGTCAATGCTACCCACAATGACTCTTTAACTACACATGGCTTTTAATAAATAAGACTTTAATCACTTAAACCTAAGCACTATGTAAATTTATGCAGCCGTAGAAACTATACACAAGAATGCCAGTTTTCTTTTGCCACATACTGGGCATACTAGGAGAATAATAATATGGTACACAAATCTGTCATGCTTTTCAATGATATGAATTTGAGCTGGCACAAAAGATTTTTGGTGACTCCCCAGGGTTCACATCATTGCAATTCTACTGTATACAGAACGAAAACTGGTAAAAAAATGAATAAAAAATTCACAAAAGCCCACATATAAATAGAAAACATTTGTACTTGCCTTTTAGGTTGGTATTGACATCAGTAATACGTGCATTCACACTTCCCAATTCAGCTTGGCTGTTTTCCAGCTTGCGCCGTCTGTCTTCTACTGAAATTTCTTGCAATGCCTTAATGTAGAAAAAAGAAAGCACCAGATTTATTCATCGGCACATGAACAGTGCCAGCACTATCAAACTGGTACTCACAGCTTCTAATTCTTCTTTCCTCCGATATAAATTGTTGTTCAGCAGGTTCTCGAGCTTGTTTTTTTCCGCCTCGAGCTGGATATGGAATATTTCATGATCAAACAACATCAGCTAATCATATTCTAAGGTGTCAAATAGCTATTATTTTTTATATATACAGGGGCGCAACAGCCGAAATGGGATTTGGAGCGATTTTTGGAGCAGCTAAATGTTACCTTTGGAGACCTAAAATCCAAATTTAGAGCAGGTTATGGGGAACAAAACATTCATTGTTTATCACAGAAGATCAAATTTGGAGCAGTATGAAAAAGAAGTCTTATATTTAGTCAAAAAATATATGAACAAACCATTCGACATGCCCTAAAAGGTGCAGTGAGAGTATGAGCCCTGCTATTTCAGGAAAAGTAGTACAGTAAAAGCTCGTTAACTCTGATCTCACAGGACCGGAGAAAATGTCCGAGTTAACCGAATTCCGAATTATTGAACGGAACATGAAAACAAAAGGAAAACGTACACAGCACAGACAAACCTTTACTTCTTAAAAAAGTGTGTTATTTTTGCCTGCCTCACCGTCTGAATTTCTGACAGAACGATCTTATTTAATCCCATCAGGTGGTGGTGCGCACGTTCACTATCGCGAGAACAAACGCAGAAACCCTCGAAGACAGCGAGGGCTTCGGCGGCCTCCTGCACGGTGCGGCGACGTCACGTCGGCTCATCACCTCTTTCAATATCATAACCTTTCTATCAAGATCATTTTCTGGCTGCTGTGGCCGCTTAACTCCTGTGACGGTCGCCATGAAGCGCGACGGCGGTGACAACGCGCACAAACACAGCCGCAGCCGCAACACACGAAGTCACAACACAAAGAACCATGACACGAAGTAGTACACCAGTAGGCGTAGCGAGCAGTTGTTAGTATACACTGGATGCGCCGACAGCCCAAGCGCTTCCGCCGGGTGGTGACTAGCGCTACCTAGCCACTTCCCCCTCATTCACTATCATCATCGTCACATTCTGCTGCACTTCGCTCGGTTTCGGTTTTTCCAAAACTCCGGTTCTGCCCTCGGTTACAGCAAGCAGTGCTTGAGCCTCCAAACCGCCGAGATCGCGCGACTCTGGAGTCCCGATAGCCCTCTCCGGAGTTGTCCGAGATAACCGGCGCGCGGCTAAATCCCTCCGAATTAATGAGCACTCTACCTCATTGAAATATACACAGTTTTGCCGGGACCGCGCCGCGAGTCCGAGTTAAACGAATTTCCGAGTTAACGAGGTCCAGATAAACGAGCTTTTACTGTATTTTGAGCCCCCTACTGAGAAAGTAATGATAACGTCTACATTAGCATTTGCCGTGTCTGACTCTGCGAATTCAAATGTGGACCTGCCAAGCTGGCGACCTTTAGATGCAGAAGATTCGTAGGGATGGCAAGAAACAAAAAAACAAAAAAAAACAAATGGCATGCAAGTGTGTTTTTTTTTTTTCTGAAGGGCGCAGAAATGTCATACACTGCTCCAAATGATTGCCAGTCGCTTTTTCAGGTGTCGGCAATCCTACTAGCAGACACAATATTGTGCCGTGTAAACGCATGAGTAATTGAATAAAATGGGCTGTGCCCTGTGACCAGCTTTTTCAAAATCCTAATGCACGTTTTCACAGGGCACCGGTGCACTGCGGCGAAGGTGGATTAAGCAACATTCCCCCCTTTTTTTTTTTTTTTTCTTTCACAATGGGATAGGTTTAAGGCACAACTTCTCAGCTCGCTTGCAAGGCAGGTTCGACCAGATAAAGTAACAACGGCGCGCGCTTGTTGGGCCGGCGACAGCACCGGATATGTATCGCCGGGACGACACAACTTAAAGACAGAAAAACGCTTTATGTGCCTTTGCTATGGCAACCAATGTGGTCGCAATACGGCTGTTCGCAGCACCTCGACTCTGCTCGCATGTGAAAAACGCAGTATACGCTTCCAGCTCAAGCTCCTAAGATGCTATAGCTATGTTTGCTGACTAAGAAGTTCACATTTCCCGCGAAGCGTTGGTGGCTATGGTAACGCATTTTTGCGTAGAAGTTGTGTCATCCTGCCGATGAACTTCCGCTGCAGTCGGTGGACAGATGCCTAAGCAGCTTTGTTACTTTAGCTTGTCGATTGCATCTCGCGAGTGCCCTGACCTAATGGGAATGTATCTGACACCATGGTTTAGGGTTAGGCCTGCGCACTTGGATTGATTGATCGATGCCGCCAACTGCAGATGGCCAACGTGGCCACCATTTCTCGCTGAAATTAGCGCAGTTGAGAAAACTTTGAGGCTGGGTGGGCATTTTAGCGCAGCGTGGCTCATTTTCAGCAAATTTCCCGGTTTCGGCACAGTTCAGTGCCAAAATGAAGCATTACATCAAATTGGCACAATTGGCGCAGCTGTTGCACCCCTGTATATAACATCAAAATTATCAACAACAGAGCTTAAAAAAAGCAAGCACTTCAGATAAATGAACAATACAACTTGACATTCTACAAATGCAATACCGCATCATTATTGTGCGGGTGGTAGTCTACCACTGACAAAATAATTGTTATGACACCAAAGAAGTTGCTCTTCTGATTTATGAGAAGAGCTGACTGATGTCCAGGTTTCCTTCCAACTAGCACAACTCACATGCATGTTTTGGCAGCAAGTTCCGTGTAACAGCGTACTATTTGATGAATCACATGCCTCATACAGTAGCACCCCACTGTTACATTCCTGAGTGCTACATTTTCCTGCTTTCTGCATCATTTTTGGCCAGTCCAGTTATACTCACAGCCATTGCTGTTACATCACAGCCATTGGACCTGCCCTGCTAAAAACTGTAAGCTGGTCGGACTGGCCATGAAGAGAGGCCATGTTGATATTGCCACATTCCCTCCTCAAGTTTTTTTATCGCCCCATTTAACTGTCAGTAATTCTCAGTGCAAACCGTGCCTATAGTGTTGAGAAGCTTTAAGACTGCAGTAAATCATTTTGTTAAGATTACGCCCCTTTTGTGAACACTGCAGATTATTCTGGAGCCTACGTCACCGCTAGCGATAACACTATAATATTTGATGCCAAGTGTATAAATGCCGACGCGCTTCGTCGCTTGTCAGTTAGATGATAGACACATAGGTGCCTACAGCATTTTCGCCTCCATCGAAAATGCAGCCGCCGCAGCCGGGATTCGATCTCATGACCTGCAGGTAAGCAGCCGAGTACCTTATCCACAAGACCACCGCAGCTGGGCCCGCTTGTCAATTGATCGACGGTGACACTCTGTCCGCCGCTATCAGTGCCAGTAGGCATCGCTGTAGTCTGACCTTCAGGGCCACAAGTTCGGCCAAATAAACAGTTTCATTTTGTAATTACAGTCTGCTTCCTTCGTCCAAGTCACGACTCAGCGACATCTGGTGGAGGTGTTGCTTCGTTCAGGTACGAGACAACCCCGTCAAGCCGTGAACCCAGCCGTCGCATAGAAGACACCGAACAAGCTGCAGGCAGCGAACAAGCCGCAGGCAGCAAGGTCTACCACAGGAGTATGGGCCTCTACAAGACAAGGCTTGGAAGACCAAGGCCATGACCTCGACTGCAGCAACAATGACAACCGCTGCATCACAGCCCGCAATCATCATGCAGCAGCTAAGGGAGCCACGGACTTTGCGTGGGTCATTGTTCGAAGAACGGGAGACCTGGCTAGAGACATCCGACCGTATGGCTGCCATCAACCACTGGGACACGAAAGAGAAGCTCTGTGGTGTGTACTTCTACCTGAAAGACGCCGCAAAAAGTTGGCTCGAAAATCGAGAGTTCGTGGAATCACTAAAACCCGGCATCTCCTCTGCGGCGCATTCCTGCAAATGTTCACGACCGTCGCTCGGAAAGAAAAGGCTGCTGCGTTGCTGGAGACTCAGGTGCAGCCACGAAATTGAAAGGTCACCATATTCAAGGAAGAAATGACCCGCCTGTTCTGTCATGCTGACCCTGCCATGGCTGAGGACAAGCTCCGGTTCCTCATGCAAGGTGTCAAGCACGAGCTGTTTGCAGGGCTTGTTTGCAACCCGCCCAAGAGTGTCGACAAATTCCTGACGGAGGCCGCAACAATAGAAAAGGCGCTTGAGATGAGGACCAGGAAGTACAATGATAATGATGTGTGGTTTTTTGTGGCCCAAGGGCCATTCGATGGCCAAAGAGCGCCAGGTCATAGGACAAGAGATCTAATCAATGAATGTGTTGGGTGGCTGTATAGGGGCCTTAAAATTCCTCGCGCTAAGGTGGGTAAAACACAGAAGTAATAAAATCATGACAGTGACGTGAAATGTAGAGTGAGTAATGGTGGCGAAAAGTTCTGATAATAAAGCAGGGTGGAGACATTTGACACTAGCACAAGTGCCTCATCTCCGCCTTTGTGTCCAAGGGTTGCAAGGCAGGCGTTTTTCAATGTAGCCACAGCAGCAGAAACCTCTTTTTGAGCGGTCGTGCTATGCAATGCCTGGGTATATTACATGATAAAAGCTGGCATCTCTTAAAAAAGCTAGCACAGATTTATGAGTGAAAAGTGGTTCCCTACCGACGAACATTTCGGGTGAAGTGGTATCTGTTGTCAGTAGGGTAATGAAAAGTGTTGTCTTCTTAGAATTTCTGATTGTTCACACTCTATTAAAATGTGAAGCTCTGTTAGTACTTAACCACATTTGTCACATAGTGGTGAATCGCCACCAGACAAAAGGTATGAGTGTGTCGTCTAATGTGTGACCTATCCTGAGCTTTGTTAGTGTTACCACTGTATGACGTGACTTCGATACTGGTAGCCAGTTATCAAGGTGTGGCTTAATAACGTGTAGTTGGTTTTGTGTGTGTCTATCCCACTTTCTCTGACACTAATCCACGAGCTTTCGTTTGAAAGACGGTTTAAAGTCAAGGGCCAGAATAGATTTAGGTGTAGTGGCAGTGCTTTCGTCGACGGATGCGGCAAGCTGGTCCACCATCACGTTGCCTTGGATCTCAAGGTGCCCTGGGACCCAACACACTATGATATGTTGTTTGAGTGTGTAGAGTGTGCATAA